TACTCTTTCCACCCACCCCTCCATCTACTTACTACTCTAACTGTCCACCCATCCATCTACTCACTCACTACTCTAACTTTCCACCCACCCCTCCATCTACTTACTACTCTAACTGTCCATCCATCCATCTGTTCACTCACTACTGTAACTGTCCATCCATTCATCTTTCCATTCATCTACCATATCCATCCACCTGCCCACCCATCTGCTTAGCTGGGCATTCATTTATCACAATCAAGAGTAATTTGAGCTTTGAGTCAGTGACAAGTAAAAATAAAAATTAAAAGAGTGGGCCGGGCGAGGTGGCTCAAGCCTGTAATCTCAGCACTTTGGGAGGCCGAGGCGGGCGGATCACAAGGTCAGGAGATTGAGACCATCCTGGCTAACACGGTGAAACCCCATCTCTACTAAAAATACAAAAAACTAGCCGGGCAAGGTGGCGGGCGCCTGTAGTCCCAGCTACTCAGGAGGCTGAGGCAGGAGAATGGCGTAAACCCGGGAGGCGGAGCTTGCAGTGAGCCGAGACTGCGCTACTGCACTCCAGCCTGGGGGACAGAGCAAGACTCCGTCTCAAAATAAATAAATAAATAAATAAATAAATAAATAAGTGGCCGGGTGTGGTGGCTCACACCTGTAATCCCAGCACTTTGGGAGGCTGAGGCAGGTGGATCACCTGAAAGGTCAGGAGTTCACGACCAACCTGGGCAACATGGTGAAACCCCGTCTCTACTAAAAAAATACAAAAAATAGCCAGCCGTGGTGGCGGGTGCCTGTAATCCCAGCTACTCAGAAGGCTGAGGCAGGAGAATCGCTTGAACCTGGGAGGCAGAGGTTGCAGTAAGCCGAGATTGCACCACTGCACTCCAGCCTGGGCAACAGAGCGAGACTCTATCTCAAAAAAAAAAAAAGTAATTATTTAATATTTGCAGCCCTTATTTAGCATTGATCACTTTATACCAGGCACGGAGCTTTCCAGGCATCCTGGAGACAGCATTTGAACCCAGGCCTGCCTATGCTCTTCTAATGACAGCAGTCCTGGCTGGGCCAAAGACACAAAGATGAACTCAGTATTGTCTTGTATTTCAGGGTGTGGGGGTGGGTGAACACAGGTGCTAAAAGCAGCTTCTTACAACAACTTGGAAGCATGACCTGAAACACCCTCCCCTCTCATCTCCCAGGAGCCACCTGTGTTCTGGCCCCCAAGTTCTCTGCTTCCTGCTTCTGGGATGACTGTCGGCAGCACGGCGTGACCGTGATCCTGTATGTGGGCGAGCTCCTGCGGTACTTGTGTAACATGCCCCAGGTGAGGCTCTAAGATTAGGGCTCCATGGTGAACACCCAAGTATGAAATCCCAGATGATATCTCAGGTAAAGATTCAGGTACTAAACTCAAGCAAGTCCCTCAGATAATCCACCTCATGCAAGAACCCAGATAAGGAGTTCCAGACAAGGCTTCCAATAGTGGTTTCTCTGATAGCTGTGCTACCTTGAGCCTCAGTGTCCTCATTTGGGAAACAGGAATAATAGCCCCTACACCTATTGTGAGAATTTACATTAAAAATTAATTAATTTGGCCGGGCACGGTGGCTCAAGCCTGTAATCCCAGCACTTTGGGAGGCCGAGACGGGTGGATCACGAGGTCAGGAGATCGAGACTATCCTGGCTAATACGGTGAAACCCCGTCTCTATTAAAAAATACAAAAAAAACTAGCCGGGCGAGGTGGCAGGCGCCTGTAGTCCCAGCTACTTGGGAGGCTGAGGCAGGAGAATGGCGTAAACCCGGGAGGCGGAGCTTGCAGTGAGCTGAGATCCGGCCACTGCACTCCAGCCTGGGCGACAGAGCGAGACTCCATCTCAAAAAAAAAAAAAAAAAAAAAAATTAATTAATTAAAATTAAATCTCCATGAAATTAAAGTTCTAGGTAACTACTCTTAGGTGAGACCCCAGATGAGGCCTCCAGTCATCTCTGGTAACGTCCCCTAGGCAAAGCTCTCAGGTCACCCCTGCAGGTAACACTCTATTTGAAAAGACTCCAGTAACTACTCTCATGTAAGTAACCCAGGTAGATCCCTTAGGTAGTCACCTTCCAGGTAACTCCCAAGGTAAGGACCCAGGATAACACCCCCTCTAGGTAAAGGTTCCAAGGCATGCCCCAAAGCACCTCCTCCTCACCCTTCTGGGGACATTCCTGTAGCAACCAGAGGACCGGACACATACAGTCCGCATGGCGATGGGCAATGGACTCCGGGCTGATGTGTGGGAGGCCTTCCAGCAGCGCTTCGGTCCCATTCGGATCTGGGAAATCTACGGCTCCACAGAAGGCAACATGGGCTTAGTCAACTATGTGGGGCGCCGCGGGGCCCTGGGCAAGATGAACTGCCTCCTTCGAGTGAGTGTGCGGGTGCCTGGTGTGCAGCTGCCCCGACTGAGGCTGAGCCCACAGGACCTATGTCGACACCCCACCCTCTACCCCAGATGCTGTCCCCCTTTGAGCTGGTGCAGTTCGACATGGAGGCGGAGGAGCCTGTGAGGGATAATCAGGGCTTCTGCATCCCTGTAGGGCTAGGTATGGGGGTTGAGGAGCCTTTCCTGGGTGGTGGGGGTGGCGACCCTCAGTCTTCTCTTTGGTTGGAACGAGCTGCCCAAAACCTTAACACTGGTGCTCACTAAAGGGGTATGCAGCCTTCATCTGGACCCTGAGCCAGTGGCCTGTCTTACCACCATCTGGGGCCTCTGCCTCAGCTTCTCCGCTCTGCCCAGCTCCCCTGCCTTGATCTCTCGCTCTGATTTACTGGGTCTCTGGGTGTCCATTTGATTTGTTCTCTTGAGCTTTCTGTGGAAGACGGCATTCCAGCCATTGGTCTCTTGTCCTGTACCTTCTTTTTTTTTTTTTTTTTTGAGACGGAGTCTCGCTCTGTAGCCCAGGCTGGAGTGCTGTGGCCGGATCTCAGCTCACTGCAAGCTCCGCCTCCCGGGTTCACGCCATTCTCCTGCCTCAGCCTCCCGAGTAGCTGGGACTACCGGCGCCGCCACCTCGCCTGGCTAGTTTTTTGTATTTTGAGTAGAGACGGGGTTTCACCGTGTTAGCCAGGATGGTCTCGATCTCTTGACCTCGTGATCCGCCCGTCTCGGCCTCCCAAAGTGCTGGGATTACAGGCTTGAGCCACCGCGCCCGGCCCCTGTCCTGTATCTTCTTAGTGTCTTCTCCCAGGGCCTTGCAAGGTCCTGGTCATGTGTATTCTCACTGCCATTTGTCTGTCCGTCTCCACCCCTTGTCATCCTTTCCCTGTTTCTCATGGGCTCCCCGATACCGCCTGACCTAGACTTCTCATTTTCTGTGTCGCCAGTCGCCGTCTCTCAGGGTCTCTGTCTCTGAATCTCTGGATCTCCCTGTCTCTCTTTGGGTCTGTCCTTGGCAGGGCGCTGGATGATGAAGAGTCCACCGTTGTTAAAAACCTCCAGCAGGGGATTTGGCTGGTGGGCTCCAGGGGTTCTTGTTCCTGCTCCTACCCCCAGGGGAGCCGGGGCTGCTGCTGACCAAGGTGGTAAGCCACCAACCCTTCGTGGGCTACCGCGGCCCCCGAGAGCTGTCGGAACGGAAGCTGGTGCGCAACGTGCGGCAATCGGGCGACGTTTACTACAACACCGGCGACGTACTGGCCATGGACCGCGAAGGCTTCCTCTACTTCCGCGACCGCCTCGGGGACACCTTCCGGTCCGAGGCGGGGTTTCTCAGGGCGGGGCTGGGGCGGGACCTCGGAAGCCTTCAGATCCTAGAGGGAGCCAGTCTGAAGAGGCGGGACTTTCCTATCGTAAGAGGGCGGAGCTTGGAGTCCGGATTTGCCACGCGAAGGCGGGGCTTCTCGATTTTAGAGGGGGCGGGGCTGACCGGGCCTCCTAATCCCCAAAAGAGGCAGGCGGGGCGGGGCAAGAGGCGGGGCCTCTCCTTGCCGGGGGCGTGGTCACAAGCGCCGGCTCCAACCCCGCAGATGGAAGGGCGAGAACGTGTCCACGCACGAGGTGGAGGGCGTGTTGTCGCAGGTGGACTTCCTGCAGCAGGTTAACGTGTATGGCGTGTGTGTGCCAGGTGCGGAGAGTTCTCATTTTAAACTTCCAGCAGCTTTGTGGGTGGAGGGGTCGTTATTCTGATTTTACAGGTGGGGCAGCGCTAGGGTGCAGAGAGGTTTAGAAACTTGCCGCATCTCACAGCCAGTGAGCAGAGCTGGGCGAGGCTGGAGGGTCAGCTGTGGGCGCTCGAGGTGGGTCAGCCGAGAGTGACCAGACTGCTCCCTAGGGTGTGAGGGTAAAGTGGGCATGGCCGCCGTGCAGCTAGCCCCCGGCCAGACTTTCGACGGGCAGAAGTTGTACCGGCACGTTCGCGCTTGGCTCCCTGCCTACGCTACCCCCCATTTCATCCGCATCCAGGTGAGCCCGGGGTGGCAGGGAAGGTGGGTGGAAGATCATAGCCGGGGGGGGAGGGGTGTCACAGTGAGGGGACCATGATCACTGCCGTGCAGGACGCCGTGGAGGTCACGAGCACGTTCAAACTGATGAAGACCCGGCTGGTGCGCGAAGGCTTCAACGTGGGGATCGTGGTTGACCCTCTGTTTGTACTCGACAACCAGGCCCAGTCCTTCCGGCCCCTGACGGCAGAAACGTACCAGGCTGTGTGTGAGGGAACCTGGAGGCTCTGACTATCTGGCCAACCCACTGGGGCAGGGATCAAAGCCAGACACCCCCACCCCAACACATTATTTCAACCTGGGCCTGCGTGAATCCCAGTCTGGCCATACCCTCAACCTCAGTGGGCTGGAAATGACAGTGGGCCTTGTAGCAGTGGCAGAATAAACTCAGATGTGTTCACAGAAGTCTGTATGTCTGCGTGGATGAAGGAGCAATGGAAGAGTGCAGGGGCTAGTGCCCTGAGGACCTCAGTTTAGGGTCTTCCCTGTCTCCCAGCCAAGAACCTCAGCCATCCCTGTGGGATGACCCTGTCTGTGTAAGGCCACGGGTGTGGGAGGAGCCGGCCAGCCTCACAGCTGCTCTAAGGTAGAGAGATGAGAACACTGATTCCATCTGTGGGTCTTTAGTGGGCCACTGAGGCGGTGGCTGGGCCAGTGGATGTGGATTATTTTTCTGTGAAGTGCTGTGGATACACGATCTGACAAAGCCTGGAGGTTGCTGGACTGAGGCTAGAAGGGTAAGCAGGAAGTAACTGGGCGAGGAGTGTCCCTGGCAGTGTGAACGGCACGTGCGAAGGCCCTGGGGCAAGCTTTGTAGGTGAGAAGCAGCAGGAGCAGAGGCCTCTGGAAAATGGGAGTCTGCACAGTCTCAGGAGTTGGACGTGCTACCCGAAGTCTAGTGGAGATGTAGGTGGGGGTGTGTGGGTGCTGAGCCTCTGGCTCAAAGGCCATAAGTGCTTCTCAGGGCGCAGTAGGAACCGTAGGTGAGGCTACAGACGCTGGAACAGTTGTGGTGGTGCTGGGCCGGTGGTCCGTGGGTCAACTTTGGGAGCAGAACTGGGGTGATGATGGTGAGAAAAGGAACCCCACAGCAGTAACCCCTGTATGCAGAGGGCCGTCCGTGGGCAGTGCTGCAGGCTGCGACCTTGCCCATCCCTTCTCGTGTGCTTAGTAAACACACCCCATGGCAATGGCTTAAGCATACCTGAAAATGGCCCTGTGTGGCAGACGCACCTGAGTGTAGTTCAGGTTCCTGGCTAAGGAATCTCAGAGATTCCTTCCTTATTTTTGAGGAACATCTGGGTCCTTGGTCCTGTCCCATGGAACGCTGGCAGTACAGGGGATCCTGGCCTTTTACTTTCAGTTAAATGAAGGTTGCTGGGGGAGGATATTAAGTGAAAATGCTATATAAACTGCATGCTTTTTGCAAGTGGTTCTCCTGCCCAGCCCACCACCCCTGGACTCTCCCCGGTACATAAGCCACCAATAAAACCCTATATCTTGTTTTCTGGCTCTCAGTCGCTTCTTGTGCCTCTTGAACCTGGTGCCACCCCATTGGAGTCAGTAGGGGTTTGGCATAATACTGTGCTCTCCCATGCCTCAGCCTCCTCATCAGGCTATGGGCCATGTCGAGGACAGAACCAGCCTTCGAAGGGAGCAGTGCAGGCAGCACCCCACATGGGCCGTGAGGCAGCTGGGCTTCACAGAGCTCCTGGTAGCATTTGAGGCTCTGCCTGTCAGCCCTGCAGCCTCCAGCTGAGACAGTACCCTTTTCAGTTGGGGTCCCACTAGGAGCATCTGTTTGTCATTGGTGGTGGCTGTGCACGTTAGTTATCTTCTGCAAAGTGATAGTTGTTGTGACTTGCCATTTCTCTGCCCTGTGTGGCCAGTGGAGCCCCATGTGTTCCCGGAAGAGCCCTAGCCCTTTCATACAACTGGACTTGGATCCGGGCCATCTGGTCCTCCCCTGCACACAGTGGGTTGTTCAGTTCCTTCATACTCCTGTTTGCTCCAGGAGAGACCCTGGCCAGGAAGGAAGCTAGAGCTGTGTGAACAGAGCAGCAGAGGCCCAGGCGTTGCCACCTCCTTGGGCACTAAGGAAACAATAGGCAGGGACAAGTGGATACCAAGGCCTGGTATCACATGTGTTCACAGAAGTCTATGTGTCTATGTGGATGAAGGAACATTGGAGGAGTGCAGGGGCTGCTGCCCCAAAGACCTTACTTTGGGGTCCTTCCTGCCTTCCCACCAGGGACCTCAGCTATCCCTGTGGGATGACCCCATCTGGGCTTCCTCCTCCTGTCGCAAATTAGGTTCTCAAGTTCGGTGGCATTCTTATTTCCTTCAGGAAGGACCCTGGCCACGAAGTGAGCCTGCGGTTACGTGAACACTGCAGCAGAGGTCAGGCTGGTCACCCTTGCTGCTCCTTCAGCTTTGCCTTCCCAGATGCACAGTAGGTTCAATATCACGTGACAGGCCGGGCGCGGTGGCTCACGCCTGTAATCCCAGCACTTTGGGAGGCCGAGGCGGGCGGATCACAAGGTCAGGAGATCGAGACCATGGTGAAACCCCGTCTCTACTAAAAATAGAAAAAATTAGCCGGGCGCAGTGGCGGGCGCCTGTAGTCCCAGCTACTCGGGAGGCTGAGGCAGGAGAACGGTGTGAATCCGGGAGGCGGAGCTTGCAGTGAGCCGAGATTGCGCCACTGCACTCCAGCCTGGGCGACAGAGCGCCCCACCGTTACAAGGGCCTTAACATAAAAAAAAAAATATCACGTGACAGCCGGAGCCTGGGCTCTCTTGATGGCCCATCCCTCCTGCCCTGAACACAGTAGGTTCTTGTTATGTTAAGGCCCTTGTACCCTTTGGGACCAGAGACCAGCCTAGAAGGGAGCTTGGAGTACACAGACAAAGCAGCAGAGGTTGGCACTGGCCACCCCTACTGTGGCCCCATGGTCTACTGTGTCTTGTGACCATCCCTTGAGACATGCTGGGCCCTGTTCCTCAGGCTTTCCCATACCGCTGTGCTCATGGCCTGGTGCCACCCTGAGCCCAGGTATCTCCACTTCTCTTGTGTATGCCATGTAGTGGGACGACGGTAAGTTTTTTTTTTTTTTTTTTTTTTTTTTTTTGGGTGAGTCTCGCTCATCTCCCAGGCTGGAGTGCAGTGGCCGGATCTCAGCTCACTGCAAGCTCTGGAGTGCAGTGGCCGGATCTCAGCTCACTGCAAGCTCCGCCTCCCGGGTTTACGCCATTCTCCTGCCTCAGCCTCCCGAGTAGCTGGGACTACAGGCGCCCGCCACCTCGCCCGGCTAATTTTTTGTATTTTTAGTAGAGACGGGGTTTCACCGTGTTAGCCAGGATGGTCTCGATCTCCTGACCTCGTGATCCGCCCGTCTCGGCCTCCCAAAGTGCTGGGATTACAGGCTTGAGCCACCGCGCCCGGCCCACGACGGTAAGTTTTGACTGTGTCCCCATGAGGAATGCTGCATTCCTCTGGTGCCAGTTCAAGGAGCCCTGACCCATGGGGCTATCTCACGTGTTTTCTATCAGACAAAGCCAGCATCTGGAATGTGGGCTGAAGAAATCCACTCAGTCAACAGATTGTCAAATGCTTGATATGCTGGGAATGCAGGGGAGGGTGGGCATATGCGTTAGATTTGAATGTGGGCATGGAGATCCCAGAGCTTGCAGTGTGGAGAGCGAGGCAGATACTTACAAGCTAGAGATCTACTTAGATCTGCCTGCTTCTCATGCCTCAGTTTTCTCCAATGGAAATGCCTACCTCGAAGGATGTTTGTGGGGAAAAGTACAAGGAAAGTTCCCCACAAAGGTTCCCTGTTGTCCCTGCTATTGCCATCTTGGCTCTGGCCATCAGTCAGAGCCTCAGTTTCTTCATCTGCAGAGTAGGCATGTTGACCCCACTTTGCAGTGTCATTGGAGGGGATTGTTAACAACAATAGAAAGAAACTTGTGTCTAAGAACCCTCACGTCCTTGTTAAGAAGAATAACCCTCGTGGAGCCCCCTGGGGCCAGGCTAGAGCTGACTTTTTTTTTTTTGAGATGGAGTCTCGCTCTGTCTCCCAGGCTGGAGTGCAGTGGCCGGATCTCTGCTCACCGCAAGCTCCGCCTCCCGGGTTCACGCCATTCTCTTGCCACAGACTCCCGAGTAGCTGGGACTACAGGTGCCCACCACCACACCCAGTTAAGTTTTTGTATTTTTAGTAGAGACGGGGTTTCACTGTGTTAGCCAGGATGGTCTCGATCTCCTGACCTCGTGACCTTGTGATCCACCCACCTCGGCCTTCCAAAGTACTGGGATTGCAGGCGTGAGCCATCGAGCCTGGCCTAGAGCTGATACTTCTTAACTGACAGCTCATCTCATCTTCACCACATCTCATGGGATGAGTTGTCCTGTTGCTCCCACGATTGTCAAGGAAGCCCCAGCCAAGAGAGGTGCTTTCACCATGAGTTACTTGCCAACCCCATTGTTGCAGGTGTGGGGTCAGAGGGTGTGGATGTTATAAAAAGAGCTCACTGTGGATCCTCAGCTTTACAAGTTCACTAGCACTTTATACAAATCCATGCCTCCCTAAACCCTAGCTAGCTTGGGGCATTCATGGTTTTTGCTATTACATTTGCAAGGATTAAAAATAATATTTGATTAGCTGGGCGTGGTGGTGTGCACCTGTAATCCCAGCTACTCGGGAGGCTGAAGCAAAGAATTGCATGAACTTGGGAGGTGGAGGTTGCAGTAAGCCAAGATCGTGCCACTGCACTCCAGTTTAGGCAACAGAGCCGAGACTCTGTCTCAAAATAATAATAATAATATAATAATAATAATTTTTGAGACTGGGTGCAGTGACTCACGCCTGTAATCCAAGCACTTTGGGAAGCTGAAGTGAGTGGATCATGAGGTTAGGAGTTCGAGACCAGCCTGGCCAACATGGTGAAACCCCATCTCTACTAAAAATACAAAAAATTAGCTGGGTGTGGTAGTGGGCGCCTGTAGTCCCAGCTACTCAGGAGGCTGAGGCAGAAGAATCACTTGAGCCTGGGAGGCGGAGGTTGCAGTGAGCTGAGATTGTGCCACTGCACTCCAGCCTGGCAACAGAGCGAGACTCCGTCTCAAAAAATAAATAAAAATAAATAAAATAAATATAAATAAATTTAATAATATAATAATAATTGTTGGCTGGGTGCAGTGGCTCATGCTTGTAATCCTAGCATTTTGGGAGGCCAGGGTGGGAGGATCACTTGAGCCTAGGAGTTCAAGATCAGCCTGGGCAACATAGTGAGACCATGTCTCTAGAAAAAAAATTAAAAAGTAAAAACATTAGCCAGGAGTGGTATTGTGCACCTTTAGTCCTAGCTACTTGGCAGGCTGAGGCAGGAGGATGGCTTAAGCC